TTTTTTTTTTTTTTTTCATATTTGATATCCATTTAGAATTATTAAAAAAGAGAATTGTGCTTATAGAGCATGAAGTCTTTAAATGTCATATATGGCTAATATATGGCTGGAAAGGTCCAAGAAGTCGAATATAATCTCTTAAGTACATAGAGCACCGTGCTCATTTGATATGCCTTAAGAGCATTCCAACATAATCATAAATAAGCGAGCGGCCTGGAGATGAGGCGAGCAAACATAATAGAGCCTTTTATATAGCTTTGAAATGCTTCGAACTTCAATCACGTATTAAGGACATTGAACATCAAACACATTTTATACGTGTGAGCCCAGACATTCCAACATGATCTATCAGACGCAGAGAACATCATCGAGTTGTACATTCCACAACATTACCAACATGGTCTGATCAATTAGTATACTCAATATGCAACTAGATGCGCTTTAACAATATTTAGTAGAGGAGCCGATTGGAGTTACGAACATCATGGAGACCTTTATACACTTTTTAGCAATAAAAATATTTTCAACATTTAGTATTACATTAAAGGACAAAAGTGAAACATACCCAATATCATTTACATGTACTATTCGTCCGTGCTAGCAGCAGCCGCTGCAGCGGCTTGCGTCGCATGATGTTTGGCAACCGCTTCCTGGGCTTTGCTGAGCTGAATGTAGCCTTCATGTGCACGCAAACGCAGTTCACTTTCGACACTCTTGTTAACTGATTTGGAAATAACAGCCTTGATTTTCTGCGTCTCATTGAATTTGCCCTTCTTTGGTTGTATGGGAGCATCTATAAGCAATAACGAGGAATTGAGTCTCAAAAGCAATTTAGCCTGTTGCCAAAATCAATTACTCACTTGATCTGCGTGTGAAAGCTGCCTGTTTCTGCTGCTTTTTCTTGTTCTGTATAGCTGCAGGCAACTTTGCCTTTTTAAATTTACCTTGTGGCATTTTAATATTATTAAATTCAATGTAAACTAAAAAATGAATTCACAAACTAAACACGTGGATTGATAAGCCGTTCACAGCTGATGGTCGATAGTTTGTGGCGGTGCAACGATAATTATCGTTTATGTGAACGCAAAATTGAGTAACTGATTTCTTATGTTATTTAACATTACTCTAGCACTTGCCAGCTGTTACGGAATTTAAAATAAAACTGCTCCACACTTAGATTTATTTTATTTAATTTTCCCATTTTTTATTTATATTCGGACAACAACGAGTTAATTAGCTTTGGTTAATTGAATGTGTACATAAAATCAAATCAGATTATATAAATTGATCGTTTAATATCTTAAGCATATAGACCGAAAAGCAATTAACCGAGTTTACTCAACATATATTATTTGCTTAACTTGCTTAACTACGAGGAAACAAATTCAAAACGCAAATTATTGTTTTGATATTTTTGTTATGGTTTCATTTTTGTTTTTTGCTTTTGTTTAACAGGAAATAATTTAACATTTAAAAGCGTTGAATATTTTGTAATTTGTTATTGTGTTATCATTAAATTTTAAATGGTTTCTTTCACATATATATTTATATATTTTTTAAATTATAATTTTCTTTCATTTTTGTTTGTTTCATACACATAACTACGATCTATAACGCGTTTCGGATTTAAACTCGTATTTTTATTGAATTTGCTTTGCGGTTTTGTATTTGTTTTGTCTTTGCCCGCTTGGCGCGCGCCTTTTACTCACTTTGTGATTAATGCCTTATTTTTTATAAAAATAGTTTTACAAAACTTTTTAATTAATTTATGTGTATGTATGTAGAAGGGTATGTGTGTGTGTGTGTAAGTGTGAGTGTATACATGTATATAAAACAATTAACTCAATTTACTGACTATAATGCCAGTTACAATTAATCCTATTATCACAGCAATCACTAAAAGTATCAATATCTTACGGCGGTAGCTATTACGACTAGCTGCTGCCTTTTGAAGCTCAGTACGGCCCTCCTCCACGTTAGCGGCAGTACGATCCATGAGCTGTTCCAACGTATCTGTATTATGAAAAGGTTATCTTTATTAATATTTCTGTATGAAAGGAAATCAGTTTTTATATAAATTATTAGTTTCGTTTACTTTATGGTATGATGAGGGTAAAACGATCACTTAACATACTTTTAATTTGAATTGGTGCAAATTTAAATTTCGGCAATCGATACCTGAATTTGTTATCGAAACTATTAAAAATTTTGGCAATCGATATGCTGGTTTGTTTTCCCCTTATCAATAGCGTGATATCAATAAATTCATTGTTTTGACCAGGGATTTTTAATTTGGACAATTACTCACCCACTGCATCTCCTTGCTCTGCTACGTAGGTGCTCAGCTTGTTCATAATAACATTCACATCGAGTATATCCGACTCGATTTGTTCCACTTGGCGCTGACGCTCGACGAGCATATCGTGCTGCCTCTCCAGGCCGGCTTGCTCCTGTCGCTGCTGCTGCAAAAGCTCCGTTCTGGCGGTCATGTCAGCCTCTCGTTCGGCCTGAGCGGCCACTTGATAGCTCCGTCGCGTGGTCTCCGAGATGCACTTCTGCTGGTTGGAATATTTCATGAGCACATCCTGAAATTCGTCTGTTAGCTTCTCCAGCTGCAGCTTTTGCTGACGATCGCCATGACGTAGTACCGCCTGTAGCCGTTCCAAATCCTGACTGGTCGTCTGTACCCGGGCATTGGTCTTGGTATTAATGCTGTGGATCTTCTCTAGCAGCGCAGACAAATCCTTGGAGGTGGCAATCAGCTTCAGCTGCTTCTCCAGCTGCTTGGTGCTCGTATTGATTGATGTGATATTGTGGCCAATATCCTCACTGAGCGACACAAACTCGGTTGGACTAAAGCCGGCATTACCCGAATTGGAGCCAGCGGCAAAGCTGACCTCGGGCGTGGCACTGGATATGGCACCATAATCACGATGCGTGCTGCTCGATGGATTGTTCAATGGCTGCGCCATAGTAATTCGGCTCTGCTCACTGCTTTACTATGTATGTGTGTGTGTGCGAGTATCGATGTTCGATGTGTGTGTGAGAGTGTGTGATGGCTTCAAGGGTCGGTCAAAAATCTGTCTTTGGTGTTCCGCTCTTGTTTTCTTTTTTTTTTTTAATATAATTTGTGGGTGGTGCGTGCTCGTTGGGTTCTATGACGCGACTGTCTGCGAATGTAGAGTGTTCGAGTTTAGCTACCGCAACTATCTACAAACTAATGCGCTTCGCATTACACAAACAAACAAACTAGAGCTGGAGCCAAACAAATGATTCACTTCAGCAGAGTTTATCAGACATGCTAACATATGACCAACAGGCTTACAAACATACATATCCCCATATATATGAGGGCATGTACATATGTTTCTCAATGCGTGTTGCTATGTAGATGTGTGTGTAAGCACATACAATCACAAACATCTACACGCACACACACCGACAGCTTAGTGCTTGTTTTTGCCTGTGGACAACAGCAGCAGCTATATGGCTTCCAATTATTAGTATAAATTACCTATGATTTACTTCAGTGGGCGAGTTGATTTCCAGTTTCTTTTTAACTAATTTTTGCCCAGTGCGCAAGCCTTTCACTGCATTACACACAAAGACAAAAACTTGCTATCGATAATCCGATAGTGATTAGTCATTTATCGATACTTTGCAGCCCTATAAACACGTTGAGCATTTGACAGCACTGAACTTTGATAGCCGCAGGAAACCAGCGCGCGAAATTTACCATCTCTTTAAAATTATGGGCATTCCTTAAAATATTCTCAATCCCTTCTAATGCATTCCTGTGGAGACTGGGAAAACGTTTGTTATGGCCCATCTTATTTTTGACTCCAGCTCAACAAACAACACATATCGATAACAATAGCTTATACCTCTCATGAGAAACTTCGGAGTTGGCGGCTTGTTTCAATTTGTTAATGTTATATGTTTAATGTACATTGTGATCTTTTCATACATGTTCCAATGCATCATTAAAAAGACAACAAATACTTTTTCTTTACGTTGTTTTTGTAATTCCGTAGCTTTAACGTACAGAGTTATGCTAAAAAGTAAAAATCCTATTTACTCTTCTCCCCAAATCCGCTGCTGCTGCTCTGTCCAGCTGGCATTTAATGGTTTTTAGTGATTCACAATGCAATATACCCTTTGTTCACTGTCGTTTCCAGGGTATATTGTGAATTGTGCATGTAACCGCAAAGTGCGTGAAATTAATTGCATGACATTTTAATAAAATTAGCGTAATGGCCGTAATACTTAAACAGTTTCTATATGGATATATATGCATGTATGTAAATATATTTACATATGCATATATTTATATATTCATAGTTGATCTGTGTATTTGCCTGTAAATATTATTATTTATTCAAGTTATTAAAATGCAGTCGCAGTCGCAGTCGCAGTTGCAGTTGCATTTGAAAGCGAGGGGCGACATATGTACGTATTTCAGCTGCATGCTGTTTACGCCGGATGCTGTTTGCTCATCTGTCCGCACATTTAATCCTCCTCCTGCTTTTTGCCATTGTTGTTAACACCGCTCCCCTCTCTTTCTCTCTCTCTGCAGACTGGTGTCGCCCTGTTTGTGCAAGGGCTCGCTGACATATGTGCACGTGCACTGCCTGGAGCGTTGGATTAGCACCTCGCGCTGCACAATCTGCGAACTGTGCCAGTTTCATTATAACACGGAACAGACGCTACGGTAAGTGCAATAACGGCCTGATTCATGCTATGCCTCCCCCTCGGTTGTCCACGCCGAGTGCCAACACAATTCAAAAGCGCTGGCAAAAACTCAACTAGCTGTGCATCCACTTGACACTCAACTTCATCAGCAGCCACTTGGTTAGAGGTTGCCAGGCTTAGTGCGATTGCTACAACTCTGGCTCTGGGGCTTGGACTGGGACTGGCGCTAGGGTAGAGCTCGGTCCCGGCTTTGGCACTTTTGAATCAGTGAATGCTTTGGAGCTGGCTAATTGGTCCACATTTGAGACGCCTTTGTGATACTGAGAAGGGCGTACCGTAGAGCCACTGGCTATATTGCTTGTTTGAAGTTGTATGTCTATTGGGGTTTGCCCTGCTCAAGATCCGATAACAAGTTGATTAAGCCGTTGGCTAGGGCAACTGGGTATATTGGTAGCTTGCAGTAGTATTTGATGATCTGCCTGCTCAATATCAGGTAAACTGTAACTTCATAGAGGATATGGATAGATATGAAGCTGAATCGCTATAAGTCGAGAACTATAAGAGTAAGAGCTATCAAATTTGGTATAAGGATATTATTGAGGGGTATATTGGTATAAGGATACTATTGAGAACTGTAGAAATAAGAGATTACATTTGACATTTAAGTTAACGATCTTTGTAAGCAACTAAACCAAACTTCACATCTTAGCTCTTACTGGTATATCTTTAGAATAAACAAACCGATAATCCGATAGGTAATTTAGCTAACACTATCCACCCATTGAAAACTCGCATATTCACTCGTATATTTATTTCCATTGAGATTTCCCTTTGCTCCCAACACAAACTTAAAGCTTCGAGTAGTTAGTAGTCTGGCTCACCCGACTCATTTCACGCTTGTTGAACTCTGCTTTGTACCGTTGTCGTCGGAGCTGCGACCTCATCCAATTGCCGTTTCCGTTGCAGCTACACGTGCCTGCAGTCGCTGCGCTTGTGGTACTCGCGTGCTATGAGCCGGCGTGCACTGCAGGAGGACTGCCAAATGTTCTCGTTGCTGACGCTGGTTGCATTCGGCATTATTGGCACTTTGCTGGTGGGCATACAGTACTATGCGATGCACACGCAGTCGTGGGGCTTGAGCAAGCTGTGGACCAAGTCTTGGATGTTGTTCTTCTTGTTTATGACGGTGTGTATGGGGATTCGCTCTGCTCAGCTCCTCTCTCTCTCTCTCTCTCTAACTCAACTGCTGTCCCACAGATAACGGTTTATTTTGCGAATATCTACATGTTAATCAAATCACAGTTGACGCCTTGGTATCGGTAAGAATAGGCTGAGGTTTGACTGCTCTTTCGGGCCTCTAATAGAACTCTGCCTCTCCCCCAGCTGGTGGCAATCGGCGCGTGATATAAAGCTCATCTTGGAGAATCGACGACCCTTCCCCAATCCCAATCGAGCACAACCCCAACAGCTAACCGTAGACACAGCTTCGACGACAGCCTCAATGTTCACACATCACGATCAGCAGGACATGCCGCAGCGTTCTTCCCAGCGACGCTTTGGAACGCCCTCATCGAGTGTCTCCTCGCTGCCGAGAGCCCCGCCCCCCGTCGCTATGGTGAAGCAGCCTGTGCCAGGCATGACCATGGCCAAGCCAGAGGAGCCCACCACTTGCATCGCAGCGGCCATGCTCAGCGTTAGTTCAAAATCAAATCCAAGTCCCAATCCGAATCTCAATCCCAAGTGCAGCTATTCTGCTGATGCTGACGCAAGCGCCGGCTTGCCAAATGATAAAAAACAACCACAGCAGCAGCAGCAGCAGCAACAACAGCAACAACAACAGCCGCAGCAGCATCCGTTGATGGAGGAGAAGGCAGGCAACTAAGTAGTCTGTAATGCCCAGTGGACAGTTTGTAATTAAGGCTTCAAGGGCAAGGCTCCGGGCTGGCTCTCGAATGTTTGCCTGCCATTTATTTAATGTACTTTCAATGCTTTTAATGAACTCAACAGAACCCAAGTTGTCTTAAACGAGCTAAGCTTTTATTTTTCGTCTTGTCTATGCACAGAAAACACATTCAGCATGGCGTAAGCCGGGTATATTGGTGCTGTAAGAGCTCATGTATGATAGACACGATCAAAATATGCATATCTCAAAATAATAAAACAATGCTGATTAGACTTCATATCAAAAGTGATTTGCTGTGTTGGCATTTTTTTTTTATTGGTGACTCAAGAGTTGTAAGAGAAGAAGAGGTCATGTTTTTTATGAAGAAACTTTAAAGTTATACAGAGATTTAGAATATTTCAGTTTCAATAATATCTGGGTTTTATATTATAAAGAGGCTATCTCCAGCTAAAATATTGATACTGAATCTCCTATTAAAAAACCGATGCATATATAATATATTTTATTCGTTGTCTTCTCAAATGTATCTAATCTAATCTATAACTAGATTTGATATTGCTCACATAATCGTATCATATCATATAATGTCAATTATTCATAGATAACTCGAGAACTAGATGTAAGAAGCAGAGATATTAACTATAGAACACCAGCTCTATACAGTCGAACAATGTTTTAGTTTTCAGAAATCTACTCCATGGAGTATTAGGAATATAAAAACTATAATAACTGAAGCAGATGGAACTAACAGATGTTCTCTTTACATGCATCTCAAGGAACTCCTATAACTGCAAATATACAATATTGGAGGTTTCTTAAATCATCAATGACATCAAGTCCTTAACTATATTCCAATATCTTGCTCTATTTCTAGAGTAGCTCTGAGTCGATTTTCAAATTTTTTGCTCACAGCGCGCTGCGTCTCTGTATTAAGCCGTGTGTCTGCACTTGGCTGGCTTCCTTCACGCAGCGCACAACTTCCGCTTCCGCCATGAGCTGGTGCAAATTAAAGCTGATAGCGTTGGCGTGTCCTTAAGGACATTGCCTGCCTGCCTGCCTGCTGCCTGCCTGCCGCATGCAGGCTGCCAGCCAGCGTGATGGCATAGCCAGTCACGTGATTGATGGCTCATAAATTAGTCATTTCGTCTTAGCCAACGCACAGCACCTCACGACCTGTCTCTCTCGCTCATTCGCCCTGGCAGGCAGTCGTTAGCTGGGCTGTCGCCTGAAACATTTTTCGCATCGAGTGCAGCCTCAGTAATCAAGGCGTAATTTGGCCTAGTCCTGGGCATTTAATATACAGCTACAGTTTGCCAGCATAAATCCTTCCACTTCAGTTCGAACACAGCACGCACCGGCCTGCCCCGCCCCGTCACGCCCCTCCCCGCCCACCAGCGGGCATATTTGCGTTTTTCGTGACCGCCCAAAGCTGCTCCCCTGCGTGGGCCTGGGCCTCGCTGCTGATGTTGACATATTAGGCATAGACGGGCTCTGGGCACCCATGTCCAGCACACATTTTGGCAAAGGGTTAGCAGCACGCCGACCTTCAATCAATGTTGCTGCTGGGCAATCACTGCGCCACATCAAGCCAAATGATTGAACGCTGCTTCAAATCCCCATTGCTTTCAATTTCATTTCTTTTCTTGTTCCTCCTCCTTGCTTTTCTTGTTTTGTAAGCCGAAAAAAATTGAAGGCAAAGTCAAGTCAAGTAGTTTTCTTGGTACATTCTTGAAGGTCTTAACTGCCAAAAAGCCAAAAAAAAAAGTAAAATAAAAAAAGAGAAGAAATAAGAAAGAAAAGTTATCAAGCAGCAAAGCTTCTATAAGCACTAATCTCCAAGGAATTGTTATGTTGCCAAAGTAGTTCATATTTCCATTTCCGCGAATTGCTTTGTGCCCGGCATTTGAGTAGTAATTCACTTATTTGCTTTTCACGGCGGAAATACTTTAATGGCCAAAACAAATAAAAGTAAGAACAACTTTTTTTTTAAGAGCAGCTAAGCCCAAACTTCAGCTCTGAAGTTCAAAAGCAAACAGCTAATATATGAAGCGACGTTTGCTTTTTATGACTGAGTACAGGATTTCATACTTGTAATGATATAGTATATATAGTATAGTAGTATAGTATTATACATTTTCTATTATTAATAATCTTTTATAAATTATCTATTAACAAAGTCTCTGCATTAGGTTTTCTTTCTGTTGTGTTTTTTCTTCAGCATATCTCGTTTCTCATATCTGATATCTGATCTCTGATATCTGATATCTGATCTCTGATCTCTGATATCTGATATCTGATATCTGATATCTGATATCTGATATCTGATATCTGATATCTGATATCTCATATCTCATATCTCATATCTCATATCTTATATCTTATATCTTATATCTTATATCTTATATCTTATATCTTATATCTTATATCTCATATCTCATATCTCATATCTCATATCTCATATCTCATATTTCATATCTCATATCTCATATCTCACATCTCACATCTCATATCTCATATCTCATATTTCATATCTCATATCTCATATCTCATATCTCATATCTCATCTCATCTCATCTCATCTCATCTCATCTCATCTCATCTCATCTCATCTCATCTCATCTCATCTCATCTCATCTCATCTCATCTCATCTCATCTCTTCTCTTCTTTTCTCTCCTCTTCTCTTCCGATCGGCTTAAGCCCATTAATTTTCAACTAATAGTTAAGCCCATCAATTCTCAACTTTATCCATATATATTCATATATTATATACTTACATCCTTATCGCCCAATCGCTCCACTCGGCAGTGCAGGAAGCCCGTTTGGCCCACTGTGACGGTCAAGTTACGTGGAACATCAAAGTCAAAATAGGGCAAGAGATTTGTGGGTGAAATTGTAGTTGTTGTTGTTGTYGGTGGCGTCGGTGCCAAAGCTGCGCTGTAGCCTATAGAAAGTGAGAGAGAAAGAGAAAAAAGAGTGTGAAATTGTTGTTGCATACGATACAACCAAAAAAAAAAAAAATTTTGGCCAAATGGAAATTTATTTTCATTTTCATTTTCAACGTGCATATGTATTGTGTGTGAGCAAAAACAAGCCGACACAATCAGACATATGTGTTAGTGTGTGTGTGTGTGTGTTGTGCACAACGCACAAAAACCGAAAAGTAATAAAATTCTCATAAAAATACAACAGAAAAACGCAAAAATCTTTAGCAAACAATTATAGTCCCCTTTTTTATATACATATAAATATATGGCACAGCTTTGGCACATTGTAGATATGTACATAAATATATGTATACATAAATATATGTATATGTGTGCATATATGGATATATATGCCTTTGCGTTATATAGATTTGAATATGGATTATTAACGATTCGTTGTAAATGCGGATTTATTTATAACAGCTCATTTTTGTCTCCCTCTCTCCCTCGCTCTTTAGCTGTATATACAGGCGCCCATTCGATTGTTGTGTGTGTGTGTGTGTGTGCGCGTGAGTACACAGAGGCATTTTGAGCTCAAGGCTAGGATTTAATGCGGCATTAACAAACAAACCGCAGCTCGGCAGCAATATGAAACGAAATTTAATTGAAAATTAATATGGCTGCCACTCGAATTCCTCGAGAAGAGAGAAAGAGAGTGGGAGTGAGAGAGATGGCTTCTTTGGCTTCTTTTCAACTATGTTTTGGGCAGTCCAACTTCGAGCACGTTAGATAAGCGCGCTGGCCAAAAGCAAACCTCGAATCGTATTCGAAATAAGTTCATCAATGCGAGATTTGAGCTTGAACGACAGTGTCTCAGCAAAGTTTTTGCACATCAAAGCGCTTTCGTTCCGAAATCAGCGTAGCAGGGCGCAGGCAGCCAACTGGAATACGAATAATTGAATGAGAAGGCACCAGAAGGCAGCAGGCAGCAGGCAGCAGGCAGCAGGCAGACAGGAAGCCAACCAGTTTATCGAACTTTGAGCTGGAATTGCGAAAGTATCGCTGGGCAGGAGGCGGGGCAGCAGCTATACGCCTAACGTGTTGCTAGAGTCGAAATGTATAGCGCATAAAAGTATGCTACGTTTTTTCGGGTGCCTCTCCGCTTGCTCTTCAACTGCTGTTGCACATTTCCTTTTCCGCACGCGCCGCCAAAAAGCACGCAACAAATTTTGAGGGAGAGAGAGGGAGAGAGAGACAGACAGAACAAAAAGTTTTTGGCCAACACGCGCAAAAAGGCAGCTGCAAAACATACGCAAAACTTTTTACCACATGCGTATGAATCGAGGGCCTGGGCGTGGCTATATAGGGGCAGGGCGTCGGTGGGGGAAGTTGGTAACTCTGCCATGACAAATTTTACGATTTACTGTTGAAAATTCGAACACAAAGTTAAATTTAATGTGCGCCCGCAACATTTCAAGTACGTGCCCCACCAGCCAGCTTAGCCAATACGCAAAGTATTCAGAAGGAAAAAAAACACAAGAAAGTGTAGATAATTCTAAAAACAACACGGAAAATCCAAAAGAGATAAAGAGGAAGAAACGCGTGTAAAGTGTGGAAAAGAAAAGCAATTTCTATAGATATGCGCCACAACTTGAGAGCTAGCAAACTAAGCGACTAAGACAGAGAGCGATAGAGAGAGAGAGAGAGAGGAAGAGAGGGAGAGAGATAGAGACAGAGAGAGAGAGAATGGAATTTGCATATTTAATTTGCTGTTTGATATCCGGAGGTTAAACTAAGTATATCCACGGCGGAGATATGCGATAAGAGAACTTGAGTACAGCTATATTCGTTGGGATAGGCAAAAAAAAAAAAAAAATACAACAAAATTGAGAGACGAAGAAAATCATGGGACGTGATTATGAAATAGTTGCTGTAAATGGAAACGTGTCAAAAACACATGCAAAGACACACGCAAATTAACGCAAAGCATAGAGTAGTAAATACCCTATACACTATGAATGAGACTATAGGATAGTCTAGATTGATGTATGTCTATCACTTAATCTATTATTTAACTTATATTTGATATGTATAAACAATCTTTGGCACGTTTAATCAATGGTTGAAAGATTGATTGACAGATTGATTAATAGATGGATGGTTGGATTGAATCAATTTGAGTGAGCGGTTGATATATATTTTGCCCATTTCTAAGCCTATTTCTTTCAGTCAAGATCTATATTCTATAATGAAGAAAAAATTTATCATATTTCTTCAATGACTGATTGATTGAATGATTGCGGTATTTTTAATTTTTTAAAATTAATTGAGAAATGTGTTAATAAGAATCTATGAATCTCATTAATAGACTGATAAGTGTAGCCTCGATTTGAGGCTTTCATGCGGTGGATCTCTACTCTTTGTAGTTATCTCTAACTAAAATTAAGTTGACCTTCAGAATGATTGATTGATGATTGATTGATCTATTCAAAAAGTTGTATAGCTCTTAAATGATGATTATATCTTTTAGCATTAAAGACTAAATCACAATTTTGAAGCAAGGAACAAGGTCCAATACAACATAGAAATGGGTGAGTGTCCGCGATTGATTGATTGATGGCTGCAGTCTAGTCCAAGTGTAATTAAAATGCCATTGTTGGATTCGATGTGGATGGAACTCGAGCACAATCAAACAGCAGCACAGCTGGCAAGCATTATCGACTAATTAACGCGCAGGCTTAAGCCCGACTAGCAGATACTCTGCAAAAGTTCGAGCTGATATGCTGATTGAATTTCAGTCGAAAACTGATGAAATTTTATTGGAGTTGATGCTAATGAGGTCTACGGCTAAGCCTACTTATTGACTCACTCATTTTCGTATTTACGCCCTTGCTACTGCGTGCAGGGTATTAAGGGCGGAGGCATATCTAGCTGTAACCTGGCTAACAACGCGGTTCGCATGGCTAACGGCCCCTGCACTTGCCGCTCACCCATGGATAGAGCTCTGGCCAGGCGCAAACCCAACGAAAATTAGCTTTGGAATTTTGCACGTATGCGTGCGTGCGGCATGGAAATGCGTGGGAAATACATGGCAACGGCTACGAAACGTGTCCTGCTCTGTAGCTGTAGCTGAAGCTGAAGCTGAACTTAATTTATTGTTTATCAGCGGGCATGAAATTTATGACCAGAGCGAAGCTAAATGTGTCTCTCTGTGTGTGTGTATGTGTGCGTGTTTTGGGTGTTTGCTAATTTTAAGTTTATGCATCGAAAATTTTGCTGCGTGCTCATGTTGAGCAAATTAACGATGCGGCTGGCTGGAAAAACGAGGCTCACCAACACACACACACACACACACATACACAGCTGTTGTTGTTTGAGCCACTTAGCTATCGATCAGAGCGGCAGATACAGGCAGAGAACAAGCACAACAGCTGCTGTTGTCAGAATTTTGGCTTTAAGCGCGTTTAATCAAAAGCAAGCGAGAAATTGGCATGATGCATGACGGCCAAATTGCTGGAATATGCGGGCCATGCCCAACGGCTTGTTGGCCGCTTACAAATTAGCAAATGTGGTGGAAAATTTTACCGAGTTTACATAACGCAAAATTTTGCCCACAATTTATGAATGTCGTTTACTCCCAGCGAATACTTTAATAGATCGCCTGGCAAGCCAAAGCAAATTGAAAGCCACGCGATTGTTCGCCCTCAGCACACACTGTCTCTATGCTGTCTACACATAACCGATATACCCTTTATGGGCACATTAATTGAGCGTTAAATGGATTGGTTTTGCTTTATGCAAATCGTAGACAAACATTGGCGCACGCCAAACAAACAAACTGYGTGTGATTAGTGGGACGCGTTGGTGCTGTGACATGCCTAAACTACCGGCAAATAGTATGCGCATGCCAAAGTAAATATTCAGCGAGGGAGCGAGCACGCTGAGGGTGTCGGCGGCTCATAATCTGCAATCAATCAGGGTGAAAACCAAACAAGCTTAGAAACCAATCAACCAAGGTAGTTCAGAGGTGATTATAGATATACATAGCTGTGCTTGAATTGCCACATTTGCAGGGTATATGCTCGCACATCAGCTATGTGGTTAGCTGCGTGAGGCAAACATGTATTAAATATGCCCAACATCAACATTTGCATGCTTGAGCCTTAAGGTGCTTAGATATGTAATAAAATATGCAGGGTATCTGTTAGTTTATCAGACGTGTTTACTTCTGCTCACAGACTTTATTTCAATTATTAGCCAAGGCAAGAGGCGTCTATAGAAGTGATAGCCCAATATACAGGGTATTTGCTTGTTCATCAGTCACATGTTCGCCCATTTTCATGCAGCTGACTTTAAAGTACTTTTTAAAAATCGGGAACTTTAAGGAATTTCGTTGAATATATCTTAATGTTCACTGTATATACAGGGTATCTGTTAACATATCAGTCGGACACCTTTCTGTTTCTATTGGCTCACAGACAGGATCTCTCATGAATGTTAGCCCAGTTGGCCATGGCCAAGAAGTTATGGCATATATCTCCTAGCTATATATGCCACAACCTCTTGGTTGTACTCCATATACAGGGTATCTGCTAGCTGGTCACACACAAGCTCATCTGCGTTTTTAATAGTCTATTTATCCATTACCTATCAAAGGTGTTCAACCTCACGCCGTAACTTTCCCCTTAACTTATAAAAACAAAACAGTTACAGGGTATGCTATAGCACATCAGTTGCCCAACTCATTACTAGCATATCTAAATTCCAATCTTCTTCAACATAACATAAACATATCGAATAGAAAGCCTTCCCTCATCACATACAGGGTATCTAGCAAGCACAGCCAGCACACACTCTGGCCACATTCTGTTTACTAGCAAGGGCCTGGCCAAGACGTCGCAGGATATATAGCCGTGATCCCAGCACTTAAGGTTAAGTTGCAACTGACAACACATTTTGACGCATTGAGTGGCTGCCACTGCAGCTGCACTCGACGCGGCGCCTGTTGACTTGCCAC